CAGGAAAGGGGCGAAGGAGAAGGAGGGGGAGGGAGGGAGCGAGGGAGGGAGAAAAGAAAGAGAAGGGGAAGGGAGGGCGGGCGCACAATGATGACGCAGGAGGAGGAGGAGAGGAGGAGGAGGATGAGAAGGAGGATGAGAGGAGGAGGAAGGATGAGGAGGAGGAGGGGGGGGTAAGGGAGGCAGGGAGGAAGGGAGGGAGGGAGGGAGGGAGGGAGGGAGGAGGAGGAGGAGGAGGAGGAGGAGGAGGAGGGGGAGGGGGAGCAGGAGGCGGAGGCGGAGGCGGAGGCGGAGGCGGAGGAGGAGGAGGAAGAGGAGCGAGCGAGCGAAGGAGCGAGCAGCCGAGAGGCGGTTGGAGGGCCCGCGGCGCGGGCGAGGGGCCCACGAGGGCCTCCACCCCACCGCCCTGCGCCTGCGCCACGGAGCCCGGAGGCCAGGACCGCGTTGCAGGCACCGGGCGGTGGGGTGAGGCCCTTGTCTGCCCCAGACGGGGCGGCACGCGGCGCCAGGGGGCACGGAGCCTGCGGCAGGCCCGTGCACACCTGCACGAGGCCCGCCGAGGCGCGGGGGGCACGGAGCTTGCGGCAGGCCCGTGCACACCTGCACGAGGCCCGCCGAGGCGCGCAGGAACGCGCCCAGGGCCCCCCCCCAGCGACGACAGCAGGCCAACGACGAACACGAAGCCAATGGCCTCCAGGTGGTCACCGACGTGCACGGGGCGACAGGTGTCCAGCACGCCACTGACCAGCATGCCCAATTCAGCTTCGAACCGCCCCGAGCAAAACTGGCTGGATGTGCCCAGCACACAGGAGCCCGAGGGCAAGCAACGCTTCAATCCCGAGGGCCCAGGAAGGACAATACCTGCCATGGCGACCGAACCTGTCAGCGACAGGACTTGAAAGCTGAGCGAGCTGCAGGAGCCGCGGGTAAACCCCACTGTACCTCCTGCCCTGGGCTAAACCCCAGGCTGTCAAAAAAGGTTTTCATCATCACTGCCGACGTCCGAGCCATCATCAGGATCTGGTTGACCCAATTCCAGAACCTTGTCGTATGAAAGCCCATATCCTTTGAGAACCCTGGGCGCATCAAGGCACTTGTCCCCTAGCTCTGATGCGGACCCCCGACTGTGAGCAGGCCTTAGCACAACCGAGTCCACCAAGGGGTCCGTCCAACGCTTCTTCTTGCACATGAGCTTCCTCTTCTCCGACGTTGGCCGCAACGGGCCATCGAGCCTAACATGCTTCCTTTAACTTTGCGGACGTCAGAGATTCAGGAAACGTCGCCTGCTCTCCGCCACCCGTCGTTTCGATGTTCGTCCTGGGCATCTAGTGTCCAGGTCTTTGTGGGAGACGGTGTTGAAATACTTGCAGCAGCACGTGCAAGCAACAAGACTGAACTCCAACCCAACAACTTGAAACTCGAAAAGAGCGTGCTGGCCAACATACCATGGCTCTGCAAACTGACCCTCTCTTGCAGCGCCGCCTTCTCGATCGACTCCTTTTCGTCATCAGTCACTGGGAATATGTAGTCCAGTAGCTCCTCGTCTTGAGAATGGAAACGGCGACATCCCGTCACGAAGAAGACCTGTTGTTCGGGCGGCAGATGATGTCTTGCTCCGCTTTTGGCCCACCTGTCAGCCTCCTCATTGCCTTCCTTCTGCAAAAGGGAGGTGTGGCCTTCGCGGACGCCGTTCATCGTGGAGTGGCCTTTGACGTGTACGCAGCACTGGTCCAGGAAATCCTCCCTCATCTTGGGGACCTTCCAGGTGTGAGCTCTCGCGCACTTGGCTTGGCTCCAGTGGCCCACGCCAGGTTGCGACGACAGGCGAGTGAGCTCTTGCAGCCCGAGAGGAGGGCCCACGTGCCCAGGACCGGCGGGACTCCTGGCAATCTGCTGGCCCGGCACATCGCGTAGTCCTCCCCGCTTCCTTGGCCACCTGCAGTGGGCAGATCTCTCGAGGGACGGGACCGCGAAGACGTCCTGCTCTCCGTCTGTCCATGTCCAAGAGCGATGGCCGTCCAGCCTGCGTCTCTGAGCGCCGGTATGTCCGTCAGCATGCCTTTGCCGTCGACGAACACATAGCCGTCCTCCACCGAACTTGCACCTGTCTGGTCAACATCGATGGAATCAAACTCCTCCGATCTTGGTTGATTCAAGAACGCCTGCGCTGGGTTCTGCAAAATCCCTCTTGCAAACTTCTCCTGATTCCGAATGAGGCAACTGACCTATCTCCACCGCCGCTTGCCGAACAAGGTCTGGGATCAACGTCTGCCCGTTTCCAGCATAAGCATCGCAGCAGAAGAACCTGTGAAACAACGTTCCAGGAGCTATTTCACATCTGGTGCAGAGGTGACTCTGATCAGGAAACGCACGAGCAACCCGTGCCTGACACCAATGCCCACCAGAACAGAGGCGTCTCAGGTATCCCCTCTCATGTGGGGACGGCCTCTTTGATCTCATGGCCGATTGGAGCGGACCCCGCGAAATGTCACCGAGCCTGGGCCTTTTCTCCATGTAATGTGCTGAGCGCATGACGACTGATGTATTTCTGCTCTCCTTTCTTTGCCACATCCGAGAAAAATTATGCCGAATAATATGATGTACTCCAGCTCCTGCCCTTGTCATCTCTGATCTCCTCCGCACAGCTGAGTGACCGATCGATCCTGTGCAACGAGATTGACAGAGCTGCAACTGGGTTCCTGACTTTGTTCCATGCGTGGGGAGGAGGAGGAGGGGAAGGATGAAGTGGAGGAGGAAGTGGAGGACAGAGGTCGGAGGGTGGAAAGCGGAGAATGAGGGGACAGGATGATGATGAGGAGGATGATGTTGAGGATGATAATTGTTATGATGATGGTGAGGATGAGTAGGATGATGGTTATGATGGTGGTGATGGTGATGGTGGTGGTGATGATGATGGTGGTGATGATGCTTAGGATGACGGTGATGATGATGTTGAGGTTGAGGAGGAAGGGGAGCAGGAGGATGATGAGTACGATAAGGATGATGATGATAATGGTGATGGTGATGGTGATTGTATGGCAGTTGGTGAGGATGAGGACGGTGGTGATGATGATGACAATGATGATGCTGATGATGATAATGATGATGGTGCCGAGGATGAATATGAATATGGAGCCTATGACAATTACGACGACGACGATGATGATAGAGATGATGTTGCTGCTGATGATGATGGTGATGATGATGACGATGCTGCTGATGCTGATGCTGATGATACAGGGATACAGGGGTTCGTGCGGTGATGACGAAGATGACGAGGACGATTACGGCAACGATGTCGATGCCGATGATGTTGATGATGTTGATGGTGATGATGGGTATGATTATGATGATGGTGCTGGTTATGGTGATTATGATGATGCTGCTGATATTGTTGATGATGATGGTGATGATGGTGGTGGTGGTGCTGGTGATGATTGCAGTCATGATGAGGATGATGAGGACGATGAGGATGGTGATGCTGATCATGATGATTGCGAAGGTGATGATGCTGATGATGTTGGTGATGGTGCCGATGATGATAACGATGCTGATGATGATGATGATGAGTATGATGATGATGAGGATGGTGATGATGATGAGTGATTATGGGTGATGATGATGATGCTGATGATGATGCTGATGCTGATGGTGATAGCGATGCTGATGGTAACGTTGCTGGTCATGGTGATGATGTGGTGGTGGCGACGACGTCGACGACGATGATGATGATGATGCTGATGGTGATGCTGATGATCATCATGATCAGGATCATGATGATGATGAATGACTGTGATGATGGCTATATGGTAATGCTCATGATGTTGATGATGACGGTGATGCTGACGATGTTGATGATGACGATGACGATGATGACGGTGGTGATGATTCTGTTGATGATGGTGATTATGATTGTGGCGATAATGTTGCAGCTGGTAATGATGATCATGATGATGACGACGATGATGATGATGATGATGATGATGATGATGATGATGATGATGATGATGGTGACGGTGATGATGGTGGTGGTGGTGTTCGTGATGATTGCAGTCATGATGAGGAGGATGATGAGGACGATGAGGATGGTGATGCTGATCATGATGATTGCGATGGTGATGATGCTGATGATGTTGGTGATGGTGCCGATGATGATGACGATGCTGATGCTGATGCTGATGATGATGATGATGATGATGATGATGAGTATGATGATGAGGATGGTGATGATGATGATGAGTGATTATGGGTGATGGTGATGATGATGCTGATGATGATGCTGATGCTGATGATGCTGTTGATAATGGTAATGATGATACTGATGGTCATGATGATGATGATGATGATGATGATGATGATGATGATGATGATGATGATGGTGAGTATGATGATGGCGATGGTTAGGGTCATTACGATGCCGATGATGATGATGATGATGATGATGATGATGATGATGATGCTGATGCTGACGCTCACGCTGATGCTGATGCTGATGGTGATAGCGATGCTGATGGTAACGTTGCTGGTCATGGTGATGATGTGGTGGTGGCGACGACGTCGACGACGATGATGATGATGATCATAATGCTGATGGTGATGATGATGACCATCATGATCAGGATCATGATCACGATGCATGATTGTGATGATGGCGGTATGGTAATGTTCATGATATTAATGATGACGGTGATGCTGACGATGTTGATGATGACGATGACGATGATGACGGTGATGCTGATTGTTTTGATGGTGGTGATGTTTGTGGTGATAATGTTGCAGCTGATAATGATGATCATGATGATGACGACGATGATGATAATGATGATGCTGATAATGATGGTGGTGATGATGATGGCGTTCTTGATGATGGTGGTGAAGACGAGAAGGAGGAGGAGGAGGAGGAGCAGGAGGAGGAGGAGGAGCAGGACCAGGAGCAGGAGCAGGAGCAGGAGGAGCAGGATCGCCCTGCGCGCGCGTGTTTCTCCCGCCGCGCCGCCCAGCCTCCCCAAAACATGGGCTTGGCGACGTACGCCCGCGGGGGGTGTCGTCGTCGTCGTCGTCGTCGTCGTCGTCGTCGCCGTCTGCCGCCGTCTGCCGTCTGCCGCCTGCCGTCGTCTGTCGTCGTCGTCGGCGGCGGCGTGTCTGACAGCATGGCCTCCGACGGGCTCGGCCGTGGCAAGGGGGGTGGGCGGTTGGGACTGGCGAGGGAGGGGCAGGAGGAGGGAGGGAGGAGGAGTCCGAGGACGAGGACGAGGAGGAGGAGAAGCAGGAGGAGGAGGAGAGCGCAGGAGGTGGGCGCAGGAGGAGTAGGAGGAGGAGGAGGAGGAGGAGGAGGAGGGCGCAGGAGGAGGAGGAGGAGGATGAGAAGGACGAGTGTAAACGCAAGAGGCTTCAACGATGTTGGAATAATCCCTCCCTCCAAGCTCCCTCTTCATGGGCCCCTACAACGGTTCATTTTTATTGGCGGAATTGTATCGTTGGAAGTCAACTGGTTGAAGACCCGGAAGCATGCCAAAGCATGGTTCTCGAGATTCCAACCCCACAGAACAACTTGATTGTTGCGTCTTGACGATGCTGGATCGTGCCAGAACGCCATTCTTGGGATTTGAACACCGCGAGCCAACATTACTTGTGCACCCCCACGAGCCTGAATCCTTCCAGAACACCATATCTGGTACGTTGATCATATCCATATGATTCCGTAAAACTCTTGACGAATGTGCGCGGCGCTAAAGCGAGAGCCACATGTTGAAAAGGAACCGACCTCAATCCGTGAAATGCTTCAGTGTTTTAAGACGAGTGCGCGCGGCGCTACGGCGAGAACCACATTTGGAAAACGACTCGCCCTCAATCCGTGAAACTCTTGCAAATGTTTAAGACGAGTGCACGCGGCGCGAAGGCGAGAGCCACATATTGAAAACGATTCGCCCTCAGTCCGTGAAACTGCTGCAAATGTTTAAGGCGAATGTGCGCGGTGTTGAGGCGAGAGCCACATTTTGAAAACCAACCGCCCTCCATCTGTGAAGCTGTTGTCAATTTTCAAGCTTCAGAGTCATACATGGTGAGGAAGTCTGAGGCCAAACGCCTGGCCCGCCCAAAAAACTGGCCTCGGGGTGCGACAGGGAGAAGTTACGTAGAAGGAGAAGGAATGGCGGAGGAGGAGGACGAGGAGGACGAGGAGGAGGAGGAGGAGGCGGAGGCGGAGGAGGAGGCGGAGAAGAAGGAGGAGGCGGAGGAGGAGGAGGAGGAGGAAGAGGAGGAGGAGGAGGAGGAGGGAGAGGAGGGGAGGAGGAGGGGAGGAGGAGGAGGAGGAGGAGGCGGGAGGCGGAGAGGAGGAGGAGAGGAGAAGGAGGAGGAAGAGGAGGAAAGGAGGAAAAGGAGAAAAAGGAGGAGGAAAAGGAGGAGGAAAGAGGAGGAGGAAAAGGAGGAGGAAAAGGAGGAGGACAAGGATGAGGAGGAGGGAGGAGGAGGAGGAGGAGGAGGAGGAGAGAGGAGGAGGAGGAGGAGAGGAGGAGGAGGGGGGGGGGGAGGAGGGGGAGGGGGGAGGAGGAGGAGGAGGGAGGAGGAGGAGGAGGGGGGAGGAGGAGAGGAGGGAGGGGAGGAGGAGGAGGAGGAGGATGAGGAGGAGGAGGAGGAGGAAGGAGGCGGAGGAGGAGGAGGAGGAGGAGAGGCGGAGGAGAGAGGACGGAGAGGAGGGAGGACGAGGAACGAGGAGGAGGAGGAGAGGAGGAGGAGGAGAGGAGAGGAGGAGGAGGGAGGGGGAGGGGGGAGGAGGAGGAGGAGGTCGCAGGAGGAGGAGGGCGCAGGAGGAGGAGGAGGACGAGGAGGACGAGGAGGAGGAGCAGGTGGAGGAGGGAGGAGGGAGGAGGGAGGAGGGAGGAGGAGGCGGAGGAGGCAGAAGGAGGGAGGGATGAGGAGGAGGGCGCACAAGGAGGAGGGCGCACAAGGAGGAGGGCGCACGAGGAGGAGGAGGTGGCGCAGGAGGAGAAATATTGTTGGCAGACGACGGCTCAGCGCCAGGCGAGCTCAGGTGCAGACTGGCGGTGGCGCAGTCCAAAACGCGGGCGTCGGAGCGGGGACCAGACGCACGGAATTGACCGTCGCAGGCGAGCTCGACGGCTCGTGGCTCTTGCGCTCACCGCGCGCAGGACTAGTTACCCGGCTCTGGAAGCGGAGGCAAGCCAGAGCAGCGGGCATGGTCCGTACCCAAGTTGCTGCAGTGTAGTCAAAGTGAGTCGTTTGGGGATCGCTCCTCCCACCCCTCCTCCCTCCCCCTCCCCCTCCTCCTGAAGTGCTCGCCTCCTTCGGGCTCACGCTGGCCCAAGCCCAGTCGTTGGGGTCCTAGGTTCTGAGGCTAGAGCTCGGCGCGAGCAGGGGCCATAGTGCCCGCTTTCTGGAATTCAAATCGGCATGACGCCCTTATGGCAGGGTCCCGCCTCCTCCACCTGCTCCTCCTCCTCCTCCTCCTCCTCCTCCTCCTCCTCCTCCCCCTCCTCCCCCTCCTCCCCCTCTTCCGTCTCTCCTCCCTCCTTCTTCTTCCTTCTCTTAGTCTGACTCGTATCAGTACTAATTGAACTATTGTTTGTGCTTTTATTATTGTTGTTGCTACCCGTATTACTATTATTATTTCGGACCTCTGTATGTCTGTATCAATGCATGTAATTACTCTTTATGTTTGCATTTAAGTATGTATTTAAGTATGTATATATATATATATGTATATTTGTATTTATGTTTTGTTATTTATGTATTCGTAATATCACCGGCATTCACTCCTCCTGCTTCTCCTCCTCCTCCTCCTCCTCCTCTATCCTTCTCTGCTTCTCCTCCTTCTCCTCCTCGTCCTCCTTGTCCTCCTTTCGCCCTGGGGCCTGGGGGTTAGGATGCTGCCTGACTGCATTGGAGTCGGCACCGCCCCTTTGCGAGCCCCCGCCCCCCGCTGCCAGGGATGGTTGGGGGCAAGCAGCAAGCATTTCGATGGAGTCGAAGGCCACATCCAAGATGCTGAGGTTGACGAACTCGTCCATCGGCCATAGGCGGGGCACGCCAGCGAGGCCTCGAAAGAGTCCGAGCCCATCGCGAGGAAGAGGCCGTTCGACAGCACGCCGCACTTGCGCGCAGGAGCGGAAAAACCGTGCGGCACGCAGCTGTGGAGCACACCCCACCACCCTGCATCACTGTGGTCATTTTGGGACAGCGCAAGCTTCATAATCAGAAAGCGAGAACATCTCAGGGGAACCGCCCAGCACCCCCCCCGGACGAGACGTCTGGTGCGACGAGGAAGAGTTCCTCAGAGGGAAAGTGTGTAGAGGAGGGGGAGGAAGAGGACGAGGAGGAGGAGGAGGAGGAGGAGGAGGAGGAGGAGGAGGAGGAGGACGAGGAGGGCGAGGAAGAGTAGAAAGATGGGAGGAGGAGGCGGAGCAGAAGGAGAAGGAGGAATGTGTATGGAGGAGGAGGAGGAGGATACACGTACACGTTAGGAGGGGGAGATGTCGTTCAGCATCACGGTCTCTCCCTCTTGCTCGCCCCCCGCTTGTCTCAACGCATACGAACTAATGAACATATCCTACGCAAAAACAAAACCTGACCCTCCTCACTCCCCTCCCCCTGTCCTTCCCATCGTGCGCCTCTATCCTTCCCCCCCTCCTCCGCCCCCCCTCCCCACCTGCCAGGCAAGAAACTCCAGCACGGCGGGGGCTCCCGGGCTGCCGAGCTTCTGTGAGGCCTCCCGGAAGACCCCCACCCAACGAGGTGCGCGCGCGTGCGTTTGGCATGCGTGCGCAAGCGCACGTCCCTGAGATCCAACATCGCGAAGAGTCCCGACCGGAGCCCTGGACCCCATGCTGCTGCGGCATTTCTCGAGCCGGGTCGCTCTGTGATGGTCCCGGGGCCCGAAACACCGGGCGAGAACGCTCGGTGTGAAAGAAGGGCAGCGCCCCGATCTCGGGGGTTGCTGCCTGCGAGGTACGCCCGCGTCATGACGGACGCCTGCGTGGCCGCGGGCATGCGCTCGCAGGCGCCGTTGCCGCGGAGGGGCGGGCGCGGGGTTCCGGGGCAGGGGCAGGGGGGGCATACAGGCATACGGGGGGCATGCACCGACCCCCAATCGCCTCGTGATCGCCGATAGGCCGACAGGGGTCTGAGAGCCCCACCCAACTCAGGAAGGTGCGGATTTGTTATCGGGGGGCCTGTGGCCGATCCATCATGGCGAGGCATCGCCAGTTCCAGGTCGATGCTTCCCCACCTAAGCCGGTCCCCTGGTTCTTTTCGGGTCAGAATTCGGGCCTCTGGCGGCCGTTCAGGACGATCTGGGCAGCCCTTGGCGCGCCTTGGCGAGGCGCAGCCGTTGGAAGGCATTTCGAGGCTGATTAACCGCAAGGAGCCAACGAAAACGTCTGAAAGCCTCAAGCCTCGAACCTCCCTCCCCAACCCAGGAGGGAAAAACACGCAAGTAGTCGTCGATCCCCAGGAGCGTATGGGAGCATGTTGGAGGTGGAGGGGAAGACGAACATCCAGAAAATGCGCATATGCGGGATCATGGAATTAGTGTCTACCTATTTGTGTGTCCCTGGGCCCCTTCACCAACGTCCCCCCTACGGTCAACCCTGAGAGGAAGGATGCTCGACTTCCCAACGGTAGCCTTGCGTCCTTGCCCCTTCGGTCATCTTCGGTCAATCCTCAACCACTGTCGATGGCCAGACCCGCTCGACGAGCTTTGGCACGGGCGCCCAAGGCCCTTCCGTCCTTACCGCGCATCCTTCCCATACGGGTTTGACTGCACAGAGGACGGCGACATGTATTCAAAACAGCCATTGTGAAGTCGTCTGTGTAGGCCCAAGAGCACTGCATAGTGTATAGGATTCCAGTGAACGCGTCTTACGCACGCCCAGCGACCCCACGCGCCCGCCTGACGCACACAGGCCTGGTTTGAGCAACGGAAGGAGAACGGGGTCGACTGCGGCGAAAATCGCGTGTAAGCGTTCCGCGTCCTTACCGTTCA